AACTTATCGTTCATTAACTTCAAGCTAAATATTTAATTTTCTATCGAGAATCGTAGACAACTGTAGACTCGTAGACAATCGTAGAGCATCGTAGACAAGTGGTAGACGATGGACTCGAGGGATGATCTCAGTGTTATTTTAAAAGTTTTCTAATAATGTCAACAAGGTTAGTTTATTGCTATTTGTTCAAGTTATTTTACTCTTGTAACTTTAATCTCTACTTGAACACAATTATTTTATCATACGATGTTAGGGTCAAAGCTCTGCGCTCAGTTCTAACAGTTTTAACTAAAAAATCGAACTGTTCTTTTAAAACTGTACATTTGTAGGCAAACATTTAACTACACAGTGTAACTAACAGATAAAATGTTAACTACACACAGTTTTACATGAACAGTCGACATGTCCAGTTGAAATTGAGCGTAAAATTACAAAGAATTTATTTGAAAATAACATTTCTGTTCAACCAGAAAATTAATTAGTGAGAGAACGGTTGACCTTGAATTGACCTCGACCCTATACCCAATGTGTCTGTCACTGACGAACGAGAACAAGTGGGGATGCAACATGAATACGCAGATTTGAGTACATTTTTTCGCAATATACTCGTAATTTAGAAAATTAAATAAGCAAATAAATTAATCATTCTAATCAGAGATTTAGAAGTAAATTTTTACTTTTGAACGTAATTGAATCAAAATTACTTAACACTTTTTTAAGGCTCTTATGGCCAGTTTTCTAGCTACATTTAACCATTCGCGAGGATTTTTGGTTCGATAACCTCATGAAATGCGTGTGTATTTGCTAAATGAAAACGTTTCTCGAAGACGAATAAGCATCTATTCTCTTTGCTTGCTAAGTCAATAAAATCACATTTAATTTAAGTTGTTCTTATTTTACAAATTACTCCATAAGGTTCCATGGTGTAACGGTTAGCACTCTGGACTCTGAATCCAGCGATCCGAGTTCAAATCTCGGTGGAACCTAGCAATTCTTTTACCTTTTTAATTTTATTTTTATTGATTGAATTGTTTTAGATCTATACTATTATAATAAAGCATGAACACACACTACTTTGTGTCGTAAGATCTTTTTGAATAATACTTTCATTAATGAAAAGCTATACACTTACGCTTTAGGCTACGCTACTAAACTTAGGGGGTAAGTAAATTAGAAAAAGCCTTCAAGTGGTAAAGGGACCATAAACTACACGCTACCATACTATTATTGTAACAGTAATTTTGACAGTAGCAATTGAGAATTTGACAAATGTAAACAATAAAATAAAGTTTTTATAATTCTCATGCGAGTGAAGCCGCACGGGAACAGCTAGTCTATATCAATACTAATATGACAGAGAGGAAAGATTTTTGGAATTTTGTGTGTATTGAAATAACTCAAAAATTACTGGGCTGAGTTTAAAAATTCTTTCACCATTCAAAAGCTACGTTCTCAGTGAGATACATAGATATATTTTCTAATTTCACGCAGACGAAGTCGAGAGCAACAGCTAGTTATATATGAAAGCTATTTACTATCTTCATATTAAACGCAAAATCGAGCTTATTTAAAACTTATTAGTCCAATTAAGTTAAAAAGCGATGTTAAATCAAATGTAAACATTGTTTACGGACGAATACGTTCATTATACAAACAGGGGGAGGAATCTTCAAAAGTGGGAGTAGGGAGTTCTTTAATAAAATCTTTCTAGAGGGAGACAGGTTAATATACGTATAGGAAACGAGGATTTATTCACATGACTGTGCTTACAAAATCTCATAAAAAAACTCTTAAATCTATACTAATATAATCGTAAACACACTACTTCGTAGCGTAGGATGTCTGCAATCACAGCATATTTTAGAATAACTATTTCTTTAATAAAAAGCCCTACAGTTATAACACTCTTTAGGCTATATATTTTCACGCTACTAAATATGTTTAGTTTAGTTAATAATTAAATTTGAAAAAAAAACCTTCATGTGGGACCATAAACTACAAGCTACCAACATTTAGGAAGCAAGGTTATCATGGTAACCGATATTATTAACATATATTAAAACGAAATTTATTATTAAGAGCTAGTCAAAACTATGTCACAATTGTTGTGCGATTGTCGATTGTTTCTCAGACCATTCAACTGATAAATTGCACAAATAAAAATCGAGTAGTTTGCACACATTCATATAAGCTCATAGTAATCAAAGAGACACTAAACAGTAAAAGAGACACTAAAAAGACACTAAAAAGCCCTACACTTACGTCACGTTTTAGACTATACATCGTAACGCTATAAATTTAGGGGTAAATGTTTTGGATAAAAACCCTAATCTCGGAAAGAGACTATAAGTTGCTGCCAACATTAAGGCAGCAAGATATCCAAGGTTTGTCATGTCATGTCATTTTGATATTTGCTATTGATAATTTGACAAATGTAAACAATAAAACAGTATTTTCACAATTTCATGCGGATGAGCGACACGGGAATAACTAATACAGCGACTGCATCTCTAATTGCTGAGAATTGATGTCCGTGTGCACGGCACGTGACATGTCGTCGGCGACAATATTGTTACAACTTCTGTCTCAAAGGTAATTGAGAGGTCAGATTGCTAGTTCAGTATACGAATGTAGACTTTGTAATTATGTAGATAAGATCGTCTATTGGAAAGCTATGTACAAGTACATGCTTCATCTATTGTAACCTTATGTATGAAATGTCTTAACTAATTTTAAAAAGTAATATTCGACTCTATTAAGTTTGTTGAATTCATCAATTAACTAGCTTTCGCTTGCGACTTCGTCCGCCTAGAACTAATAAAAAAAATTAAGTATGTCTCTAGAATTTGCTGTACGTCGGAGCCAAATTTACTACAAAAAAATGTTGCATTTGCTCATTTGTCACAAACTAGCTGTTCCCGTGCGGTTTCAGCCACATGTAATTATAAAAACTTTAATTTATTGTTTACATTTGTCAAATTTTCAATTTGAAATGTCAAAATACCTTCCAATGTCAATTTTGCTTCCTTGATGTTGGCAGCAACTTATGGTCTCTTTCCCACATTGGGGATATTTATCCAAAATATTTACCCCGTAAGTTTAATGGCGTGAAAAATATAGCCTAAAACGTGATGTAAGTGTAGGGCTTTTTGTTAAAAAAAGAATTATTCAAAAATATGCCGTAATTTTAATCTTAGGCAACAAAGAAGTGTGTGTTTATACTTTATTATAATAGTATATAACACTTGTAGTGTTTGTATTAATTACATTTACATTAAAACGTAACAAAACGATCAGAAAGTTTTCCATACTAAAGAGATCGATGTTATTATTTGCATTTAATTTAACACGTTTACGTTTCTTTGTAAAACAAATTGAAACTTTTTCTGGTACATTATGTTTTTATGTTACTTTGTTACTACAAAGTTTGCATTTAATGTGTATATTTATGTATTTCTATTGACAAAAATAGTTACTATTGCCAATACTTTTTGCTGATAGATTTTTAAACAAGTAAACGTAACAAAGGAAATCGCACTTTTAAATCAGTTAAGATTAAGGTTGCTGACAATCACAATGGAATTATATCCAAACCATTCACATTTACACTTGTGTTAATACTCTTGTTAGTCAAGAAATAAGCAAAGTAAATCCATAATATCACCATCAACTTGACCTTATCTCTTATGGAGGATCGGCACAGTATGTGCTGCTCTTCCATAGCTATCAGACGTCATATCTGAATACACTCCCTTCTTAAGCATATTCTCTTTCACACAATCCATCCATACTTTCTTCGGTCTTCCTCTTCCTTTGTAGCCATCCACATTCATTTTTAACACTTTCTAAATTTATGTCCCCATCGTCTCGTCGCATAACATGTCCATACCACGCTAACCTTTTGCTTCTCAATTTCTCCACCACTGGCGCTACTTTCAAACTTCCTCTAATGTACACATTCTTAACTTTATCCATTCTTGTCACACCACACATCTATCTTAACATACATCTCAGCCACATGCAATATAAATCCATAATATGTAAATACATAAATAAAATAAAATAAAGTGCAATCCTTATCAACACTACAATTATGAATCATAAAAGTAATTAAACACAAAATAATAATATGTTAATAAGAGAAACTTATTTATTTATTTTTTCTTTTATAGCATAAGGTGGCAAACGAGCAAGCGGCGCGCCGCCAAAATGGCGAAGCGACCGCTGCCCATAAACATCCGCAATTG